CCACATTCCCCCGTTGGCACCCACCAGCCGCTGCTTCCCCTCCTGCAGCTGCCTCCTCAGTGGCCCCAGGGCAGTTTCTGGGGAGTCCATGGGGCTGCCCCGTAGCTCTGGGCCCTGCTGGATCTGGGCCCCCCGAGCCCCTGAGAGCCCCGTGGCCTCCAGCATCAACCTGGTGGCAAGGGGGGCCCCAAAGCCAAATGTTGAGGGGAGTTTTGGGGGCCAAAAGGGGTCCAGATCCCATTTTGGGGACCCCAAAAGGGCTGCAGGGACTATGGAGGGGTTGGGGGCACCCCAAAAGGTCCCAGCACTGGGTTTAGGGAGAGGGGAGGGGGGCTTTAAGGACCCCTATGAGCCCAGCACCCACTTCAGAAGAAAACCCAGGGGGGTTTAAAGTATAGAGGGGGTCCCTAAAGGGTTCTGGGGTTCAGGAGTGGGGAGGAAAATATCATGGGGGAGGGCCCAGGGCAGTTTTGGGTTGCAGGGGGGGAAACCAGGCTGCAGGATGCATTCGGGGGGGGTCCTTGAGAGGGTTTTGGGTGCATGGGGGAATCCATAGGGTGGTTTTGGGGTGCATAGTGGGTGCTTTTGGGGTGCAAGGGGTTGTTTTGGGGTGCAGTGGGGGTAGATTTGGGATGCAGAGGTGTGTTTTGGGGTGCAGGGGGGCGGCTTTGGGGTGCCGTGGGGCTTCTGGGATGCATGGGGGTGGTTTTAGGGTGCAGGGGTTGTGTTTTGGGGTGCAGGGGGCATGGTTTTGGTGTGCAGGGGGGCATTCTGGGATGCAGGGGGTTGTTTTGAGGTGCAGGGGGGATGGTTTTGGAGTGCAGAGTGGGTGTTTTTGGCTGCAGGGGGGATGGTTTTGGGGTGCAGGGGGGTGTTTTGGTCCCTGGGGGACCCCCCAAACCCCCATAGAGGCCCCCAAAACCCTCTAACGCTCCCCACCCGGTCCCCCAAACCTGAGGGGGTTGGGGGAGGCCGGGGAGGATCATGAGAGGGAACTGGGGGTTCCTGGGGATCCAAATGGGATTTGGAGGGGTCCTAAAGGAATTTGGGCTCCTGTGCATGGATCTGGGAGAAGAAAAGGGGTTGGGGGGGGGTCACAAGGGGGAATTGGGGGGTGCTGGGGGGTTGTTGGGATCCCAATGGAATTTTGGGGGTGTTATAACAAGCAAAGGGGTTTGGGGGGTCCTGAGGGGTTTTGGAGGCTCCCCGATGAGCTTGGGTGTCCCCCCCCCACTTTGGGGTGCAGCAGATACCTCAGCAGGTCCCTTTTGATCTTCTTCACATTCCTATAGGAACACCCCCCCCCCCGCCATGTATTTTAGGGACCGATCCGAGGTTTGGGGTCCCTCCAGATGTTGCAGTTCCTCCCCCCCCCATGTTGGGGTGCCCCCCTCACCGCGGGTGCCGCACGTGGCCCATGATGTACTCCCGGATGGGGGCACAGGGCCCCGTGCACAGCCTGGAGGTGGGGGGGAGACAAAGAGAGGGGGTCAGGAGCACCCCAACCCCCCCAGGACCCCAAAAGCCCCCACTGGGGGTCCCGAGGGCTCCAACCTGCGCAGGTCGGGATCGGAGGGGAGCTCCAGCTCCGCCATGATGGGCGAAATTGGCGCGCTGGGACCGCCGCGCGGCACGACGGGAGTTGTAGTCCAAGCCGGGCGGCACCTTAATGGTGCCGTATGGATGTCGCAGTGCATCATGGGAGTTGTAGTCCAGGCTGGGCGACGCCATGACGGGGCTCGCTGGGTGCCGCGTGGCATGATGGGAGTTGTAGTCCCCTCCTGGCCGGAGCCATAACGGCTCTCCATGAACATCCTTTTCCAGAGAGTTCCCCGCATGCGGACAGAACTGTGGGGGTGGTCTCTGGGGGTCGTTTGCTTCCTCCAACGATCTTCATCACTGCTGGCAGCCCTTGAAGCACGCGCAGTAGATGCTCACACCAGCTTAATTGGTTCGTTAGCACCAGAGACGGAGCAATCCTCCCATCCTCCCACTGCTCAGGTGGTTTAACTGCAGCCCATCCTGGGCTCCTGCGGTTCCAGATACTCCTTATCCTGTGTCCTGTTCTTCTGGACTGTTTTTCTTAAACTGTGTCACAGCTGTAAGGATTTCTCTTGTGAGAATTCTCAGTGTGTTCTCCAGCTGCACTCTATGGGATCTTTTTCTCTCTGTGTCACGCACCTCAGTAATTTTCCATTGCTACTGGTACAAAACCATCAAACTTAACATTACTTAAAAGTGATTCTAAAGATTTCTATATTCCATTTTGTGCCCCCCCTTTGTCTCAGTTTGGGGGTGTTTTTTGGATGTTTTGGGCGGTTTTGGAGCTGTTTTGTCTTCTGAACCTGTATCCTAGGAGAAGAAGGATGTTTGTTTTGGGGTGTTTTAGTGTGTTTTTGGGGTGTTTATGGTATGTTTTGGGCCTCTGACCGTGTATCCCGTAGGAGAATCAAGAGAAGGTGGTGTTGGGGTTTTTTGGGGTGCTTTTGAGATGGTTTTGTGGTGTTTTGGTGGTGGTTTGGGGCTGTTTTGGAGCCATTTGGGGTCTGTTTTGGGGGTCTGACCCTGTATCCCATCGGAGGAGCTGTGATCCCCCCCCAAGGCCAATAACATTCCATAGGGAACACAGTCATTCCATAGGGAATGCGCCATTCCATAGGGAGAAGCTGCAGTTCCATAAGGGACACTGAGGATCTTGTGTCTTCTCTGGCACCGTTGACAAAGAGGAGCTGTGACCCTCATTGGAATGTCGGGATTCCATAGGGAATGCTGTGATTCCATATGGGGACGCTGCGGTTCCATAAGGGACACTAAGCATCTTGGATCTTCTCTGGTACTGTGGACAAATAGGAGCTGTGACCCCCACATAGCACACAGGCTCCCCCCCCCCTTGGACACTGGGATTCCATAGGGAGCACTGTGATTCCATAAGGGACACTTGACATCTCCAGTTCCTGGAGTGGATGGAGCCACAGGAGATTCTTTGTGGGACTCGTATAGGGGATGCTGTGTCCTCCTATGGACCACCATATGGGGCTGAAGGGGTCTGTATGGGACCAAGGATATCCGCATGGGGTTAGGAGCATCCTTACGGAGTTAAGAACGCCCATATAGGACATGGGGCTTCCACACGGGACCACCCGCATCCATCTAGGGCTGAGGGCCTCTATATGGGGCTGAGGGACTCTATATGGTCCTACGAGCAGCAACCATATACAACATGGGACCAGCAGCATCCGTATCAGACCAGGGGCCTCCATATGAGACCACAAGCATCCATATGGGATTGAGGGCCTCTATATGAGGCTAGGAGCATCCATATGGGGCTAGGAGTATCCATATACAACATGGGACCTCCATATGGGACCACAAGCATCCATCCATCTAGGGCTTAGGGCTGAGGAACTCCATATGTAGCTATGGGCCTCTATATGAGCATATAGGAGCAAGGGCCTCCGTATGGGACTATGAACTTCATATGTGACATGGGGCCTCCAGATGGGACCACGAGCATCTGCGTTGGGTTGAGGGCTTCCACATGGGGCCATGAGCTTCCATATGGGGCCATGGGTTTCCATATATGACATGGGGCCTCTGTATGGGATCAAATGCAACTCTGTGGGACCATATATGCATCCATATGGCACTGAGCACCTTCCCTATAGGGCAGAGGGCTATAAGGGGGTAGAGTATCTCTATGGGGCTGAGGACCAGCTCTTATGGGGCCACAAACCTCTACAGGGGACTGAGAATATCCATCTCTATGGGGCTGGGGGCTTCCCTATGGGATTCAGGCGTTCCCTATAGGCTGAGCTTTCGCTAGGGGGTTCAAGCTTTCTCTATGGGGCTGAGGTCTTCTATAGGGCTGAGGCTTCCTTATAGGTCTCCCGCCCACCCCCATACATCTACTTTGTCTCCCCCATATCCCTGGGGAGGGGGTGGGTGGAATGGGACAATAGCATTCAAGGCAGTAAGGGGTTGCAGGAGCCCCTCCCAGCCCCTCATTTTGAGGCCAAATCCTTAATAATCATAATAATATGCCAATTAATAATTAGGCTCTTCCAGCACTTTCTCCCCCTAAATTATTTCCTAGTGGAAATCAATGGGTTTAACCCCCCCCTTCCCCTCCCCCCCTTTATAAATCACTATATTTGTATAAATGGTGCCTTTCCAACCCCAAGTCTTACCTTATTCCACCCATTTTCTCCACGGGGGGGGAGGGGGAGGGGCCTCACTGTGACCCCCCATTGCCCTCCCCAAAATAATCCCCCCCTCATTGTGCCTATTATTTTATATGTCCCCATGATCTTATTTAATTATCCCGCCCCCCGTTGTGATACTGATAGGAATAAAACTGCTGTCCCCCCCTTCCCCACAGTGGTTTGTTCCATAACGGAGGGGTAGAAAAGCGGGGTCGCAACCATTTTGAGGGGCTGGGGGGGTCCAAGCTATTTTGGGTGTTGGGGTCTGCCCCATTTTGGGGTGCTGGGATCCCATTTTGGGGGTGTGTCCCCCATTTTGGGTAGGGTTGGTGACCTCCCTCCTTTTGTGCCCGATGAGACCACCCACAGGAGGGGCGTGGCCAAGCCGGATGGGGCCGGCTCTGATTGTCTGGGCCCGCTTGGGGGCGTGGCTTTGTCCAGTGGGCGGTACCAAGAGGCGGAGCAAGGAGGACTGCCCCGGGGTACCCGGGTGCCCTCAATGGAAGCTGGGGGGGGGGAGACTGCAGTGCTGCTGAGTGACTTTTAGCGCTATAATGGACCAAATTCCCTTGGGAACACCGTTTCCTTCCACAGCGGCACCCCTTTTGCTGATCCATGGAAGCAGGGAAGCCCAGAAGGAATCACTGCAACTTCATTGCGGGATAACGGGGAGTCATGTTTGGAGTGCGTGCTGCCTGGATGCTATCGGAGATGGAGGGGAGGGAATGGGACAGCGGAGGCGATGCCCTTTGGTCTCCGGAGCCCCTTGGTCCAGGTTTGTCTCCGCCATCCTTTCCCCTAAACGATAACTGCGCATCCGCAGCAGGAGAGCACCCGCAGGCAGTATCCCAGGCTCCGCCGCTCCGGTGCTTTCCTGAGGATGAGCAGGGTCTGTGCTGTCAGGGAACGGAGGCCGGGATCATCCTCATCCAGCAGCGCTTCCAGGGCTGTGATCCAAAGAGACCGGGATGAGCCCCTCCGTAGCCCCCAGCATCCCCCCAGCCCCTGCTCCCTCCTCACCTCTGGAGATCTGCTCCAGCTTCCCTGGGCTTTTCCCTCTTAGGGGCCGTGCAGCCAATCCTGGGCACAAAGGGATCCATTGGGATCCGTCAGCATCCATCGGGATCCATCAGGGATGCAGCAGTGGGAACCAGGTTGGGGACCGCAGGGACTCACCAATGAACCTGACGGCTGCCTCTTGCAAGGGGACCTGAGCATCCTGCAGGTACCGCAGGCTCTGGTCCAGGTATCCCTTAGCCCTCTTCCTGCTCCGCTCCAGCTGCAGAAGGAATGGGATGCTATGGAAGGCCCCCATTGGCCGGAGCAGTCCCAACGCTCCCTTTCCCATCCACATGTGGAATGAGCAGAGCGGTCCAAGGGGTTCCAAGGGGAATAGGGACGGATGCAGGACCCATACCAAGCACTCTGCAACCCTCCACGTCTGCCTCGTCTCCAATAGGCGCCGAAGCTCTTCCCATCCCAGGAGCGTCGCCGCAGCAAGGAGAGCTTCCCAGGAAGCCTGCACAGGATGGGATGGGAGATGGCACCTTGGGGATGATCCCACCCTCGGGAATGTGGGATACCCGAGGTGGGGGGAAGGGTGTTTGTACCTCGGCCACGCTGCAGCTTTGGTCGCTCATGCGGAAGAAGAGCGGGAGCAGCAGATCCCAGATTTTGCTCCTCATCCTCCTCCTGTCACCGCCAAGCACCGACTGCAGCAGGACCCGGAACAGGCGGATGGAGAGCTCGCGGAGCCGGCTGCATCCCTGAAGGGAAGGAGGAAAAGGGGGCACTTGGGCAGATCCTGATGGGATGTGAAGCCCTGGAGCCATCCCCATGCGAGCTCCAAATCACCGCAGGGGTCCCACGCAGCCCTTACTCCATCAAAGAGGGGCCAGAGGTCCTGCACCAGCCCCACGGCAATGGGGCTGGCCTCCTCACTCGGGAGGCGACCCATCACGTTCCGTAGGATCATCAGGGCCTTTATCCTGAGCTCGTCCTCAGCGTCCCAGAGCCAGCGCACCATGTGGGGCAGCAGTCGCTGCAGTTTCCTTGCCTGCAGGAAGAGGTGGGGGCTCCTTCTGGGGAAGCCTTGACCCAAGGCTATGGTCACCAAGGTCATGGCCAAGAGGGGTCCCTATGGCCATGCCCTGCCCCATGGCCAAGAGGGCTCCCCATGAACCATGGCCAAAGGGTTCCCTATGCCCATGCCTTTCCCCTTGGCCAAGAGGGCTCCCCATGAGCCATGGTCAAGAGGGCCCCCCATGCCCATGCCCTGCCCCATAGCCAAGAGGGCTCTCCATGGTTGTGTCCTGCCCCATGGCCATGACCCGCTCACCAAGACACGTTTCTTTGAGAGCTCCAATAGTCTTTCCAGCAGCACGGCCGCTGTCACCAGGTTCTGGGGGTCCTCAGCTCCCTCAGCACCACCAGCACCGGAGGCCATGGTCTAAGGCAAACACAGGCATTGAGACCCCACCGAGCCTGCAGGGCTCATGGGATTCATCAGGGCCCTTTGGGACTCACAACCAAGTTGGGGATGGAGGTTTCCCGGGTGTCCTGGAGCATCCCCAGCAGCTGTTGTAGGGCCTCTGAAGTCTTGGATATGGTCAGGAACATCTCCCAGATGTCCGCGTCAGCGCTGGAAGGCAGAGCACTGAGTCAGCGTGGTCTGTGCATCCCATGGGATGCCCTATGGGGGTTAGTGGTGGTGCTCCCCATGGGGTGGGATGCAGGGACCCGCTCCTCAGGGATGTCATAGCATCATGGAAAGGGCCTCAAGTTCATCCAATTAAAACTCCAATGCCATGGGGTGGGATGGGGGGACCTGCTCCTCAGGGGTATCATAGCATCATGGAAAGGGCCTTAAGATCTTCCAGTTCCAGACCCTACGCCATGGGTCTGGATGGACGGACCTGATCCTCAGCATCGTGGAAAGGACCTTAAGATCCTCCAATTCCAGCCCCAACGCTATGGGGTGGGATGCAGACACCTGCTCTTCAGCATCATAGAAAGGGCCTTAAGATCATCCATTGCCATGGGTCCTTGGGCCTGGTGGCCATAAGGACCAAGCCCTCAAGGCTGGTACCTGTATCTCAAGGGCACGTTGAGGACCATGCTGATCGTCAATGCCCTCGGGTGCTTGATGGCCATCAGGGTGAGGAGCATGTCCATCCTGTCCCACGTCGCTTTCCCGCTGCTAATCCGCAGGCAATCGCGGATGCTCCTCACGACACTCGGCATCTGGAAGCGGGAGCAGGGGCGAGGATGGTGCTGGGACCGGATTCCCCACCCCTCTCTGCTGCATCTTGGTACCCAAGAGCCCTCCTAGGTTTAGGATGGAGGAGGAAGGACCGAAGGGGATGGGCACACAGCCATGGGGCACCCACCTCCGCCAACCAGGAGTCGAGGTCGCTCATGACCAGCTCCAGGATGTCCTCTGCCACCCTCCTGTCGAAGATGCTCGAGTCCTTCATGGCCTTGATGACCACGCAGACCATGTCCGTCCTCTCCCATGGATAAAGGGAGCCTGCAAACCTCTATGGAGGAAGGTTGGGAGCATGGGAGCGGCGTTGCCCGTGCTTGGGGAAGCATCCCACCAAAGGGTCAAGCAATGGGGGAAGCTCCATTACCATGGTGAGGTCTCGGGGGCTGGTTTCTTCATCCCATCTGAGCTTTTCCACTTCATGCTCTGGCTTTGGCCTTTCTGAAGAGCAAGGGGGACACAGGAGAGTCAACGGGACAGAGGGGAGTCAATGGGATACAGGAGAGTAAATGGGACAGAGGGGAATCAATGGGACACAGGAGAGTGAATGGAGTACAGGAGAGCCAGTGGGAGACGGGAGAGTCAATGGGACAGAGGGGAGTCAATGGGATACGCAAGAGTCAGTGGGACACAGGAGAGCCAATGGGATACAGGAGAGTCAATGGGACACAGGGGAGTCAACGGGAGACAAGGGAGACAATGGGACACAGGAGAGTCAATGGGGCACAGGGGAGTCAATGGGATACAGGAGAGTCAATGGGGCACAGGGGAGTCAATGGGATACAGGAGAGTGAATGAGACACAGGAGAGTCAATGGGACGCAGGGGAGTCAATGGGATACAGGAGAGTGAATGAGACACAGGGGAGTCAATGGGACGCAGGGGAGTCAATGGGACACAGGGGTGTCAATGGGATACAGGAGAGTCAATGGGAGGGGTCGGGGGGAGCCCATCACGGCCTCTGGTACCTTCCTGCTCCAGGAGGTACTGATGGAGGCTGCGAAGAGCACCCAGGGCTGGGGAGCTTGTCCTGTCCTCGGCAAAGCAGAAGAGGAGGAGGTGGCCCAGGAGATGGCCCAGGAGATGGCCCAGGAGCTCCTCAGCGGGGCGGGAGCTGAAGTGTCTCTTCCTGGTCAGGTGCAGGTTCTGGGGAGGGAGAAAGAACAGGAACAAAAGGTGAAGAACCCAAAGGAGGAAAGAAAGGAGAAAGAGAAAGAGGAGAAGGGGAAAGAGAGAAGGAGAAGGAGGAGAAGGAGAAAGAGAAGGAGAAGGAGGAAAAGGAGAAAGAGAAGGAGAAGGAGGAGAAGGAGAAAGAGAAGGAGAAGGAGGAAAAGGAGAAAGAGAAGAAGTAGGAGAAAAAGAAAGAGAAGGAGGAGGAGGAGAAGGAGATGGAGGACAAGGAGGAGAAGGAGGAGAAAAGGAGGAGAAGAAGGAGAAGGAGGAGAAAAGGAGGAGAAGGAGGAGGAGAAGGACTAGAAGAAGAACCTGAAGGACAACAAAAGAAGAAGGAAGAATGAAGAAAGAGAAGGAGGAGGAGAAGGAGAAGGAGAAACAAAGAGAAAGACGAGAAGAACCTGAAGGAGAATGAAAGAAGAAAGAAGAAGAAAGGAAAAGGAGAGGGAGAAGAAGAAAGGAGCATGAGCAGAAGCAAGAGCAGGGGAAGAGACAGGAGCAGGGGCAGGGGCAGGAGCAGGAGCAGGAGCAGGGGCAGGGGCAGGAGGAGGGGCAGGGGCAGGAGCAGGGGCAGGAGCAGGGGCAGGGGCAGGAGCAGGAGTAGGGGCAGGAGCAGGGGCAGGAGCAGGAGCAGGAGCAGGAGCAGGGACAGGGGCAGGAGCAGGAGCAGGGGCAGGAGCAGGGGCAGGGGCAGGAGCAGGAGCAGGGGCAGGAGCAGGGGCAGGAGCAGGAGCAGGGACAGGGGCAGGAGCAGGGGCAGGAGCAGGAGCAGGGACAGGGGCAGGAGCAGGAGCAGGAGCAGGGGCAGGAGCAGGGGCAGGAGCAGGGGCAGGGGCAGGAGCAGGAGCAGGGGCAGGGGCAGGGGCAGGGGCAGGAGCAGGGGCAGGAGCAGGAGCAGGAGCAGGGGCAGGGGCAGGAGCAGGAGCAGGGGCAGGGGCAGGGGCAGGAGCAGGAGCAGGAGCAGGGGCAGGGGCAGGAGCAGGGGCAGGGGCAGGGGCAGGAGGAGGAGCAGGAGCAGGGGCAGGGGCAGGAGCAGGAGCAGGAGCAGGGACAGGAGCAGGAGCAGGAGCAGGAGCAGGAGCAGGAGCAGGAGCAGGAGCAGGAGCAGGAGCAGACTCAGGATGCTCTGCAGGTCCCCGTCTCCCCGTGCAGGGGTCGCTCTCGCCCGCCCCGGTCCTGCCGGGTCCTTACCCTCAGTGTGCGGTGGTGCCGCAGCAGCTGGGTCAGGGCCGCGATCCTGCCCAGGGCCCTCTCCCTCACGGCGGGGCTTCGGGAGCCGCTGAAGCGCAGCAGGACCTGGGCAGGGGGAGAAGCCGCAGGTGAGCCCCGGAGCTGCGGCAGGGGCTGGACCTGCCCCGCTTCCATTGCAGCTCCCGCTGAGCATCACCGCGGGGCGGGCAGGGATGGAGGCAGCGGCACGGGAAGGGATGCAGGGGGTGAGGGCTTGGTCCCCCCGCTGTGGGTGATGCCCCGGCTGCAAGGACCGAGGCACGGCCCCGCTTCCAGGGCTGGGCTGGAGCTGGCGGTGAAAATCAGTGCCTCACTGCTGCCCCTGCCCTGGGGCTGCAGGGGCTTTGGGTCCTTTCCAACCCAACCCGCTCTGTGCTTCTCCGATTACAGTGTACGTGTAAATACGTAGGAATGTATAGGAATAGAGCCATAGAGCTGAATAGGAATAGGAATAGAGCCATAGAGCTAAATAGATATAGGGTAAGTATAAATATCATAGAATTGTAATTATGAACAGAGATATAGATATATAAATATTCATATAACTATAAACATAAATATGAATATAGAAATATATAGATATGAACATAACTATAAATACGAATATTAACACATATAAATATAAATAAATATAGGGTTAGATATAAATACAGATACAGATATTAATATAAGTTAAAATGAAAATACTAATAATTAATATAAATATCTACTTATAAACATAGATATTAATATTAATATCGGTATTAATATAGATATAGTTAAATATAAATGTTGATATTCATCAATATTGCTTTCATTAATTTTTTAATATTAATTGTAGATATCTATATAGAAATAGAAATAGATATAAATAGAAATATATAGATATTGGTTTAAATATATTGATATAAATAGATAAAAATATACCTAAATATATAAGTAGATACAAATATATATACATGTATACACATATGCACATATACACACATACATACATACATACACACACATATATACACATACATACATATATACACACGTATACATATATATACATGCACATATATATACATATATATATATACACATATATACACATATCTATAACAGACAAATTCCTCCTCTAAAGACCTCTTTAGGCAACAGTTCAGGGCAAGGGAACCAGTCCATGGGCCCCAGCAGCCTGGTCCCAGCCCATGGTGCCAGGAGGCAGCAAAG